AGGAGGAGTTCAAATGTCTCCTCCTTCCCCTACTCTTATCTTTTATAAAACATACTTAAGTTACATAAATTACAAGGAGGCCCTTAAGTAGGCGTCCACATCAGCACTAAACTTAGAAAAACATAAAAACAACTAAAGGCCCATAAAGAAAAGGCCCAATAAGAAAACATAACATGAAAGAATTAATAAGAAAGACACTAATGGGCTAGGGCCCATTCGGCCCAGTCTCTCTRCACGCACAATTCTGTAATCTCCAATTGTTTGTTTCTATAGTGGATTTTTGCTCCTCCTTCATCCAATGTTAGCCTATAAGCTAAACCACATAAATTTGTATGTGCTCTATTTCTTTCTTCTCTTTATCTTTTTTTTTTTTACTTCATTTTCTTATGCCACCCGAATTTGTTTTTCTGGGTTTTTTTGCAACAAAAAACGCACTCGAAACTTGGAAAGTTTAGCACTCTCGTGCTTTAATGGAGGAACTTGCCCAAGATATCAACAAGAAAACAAAGGGGAAAGTATTATTCTAAAACTTGACATCATGAAAGCATATGATAGACTTGAATGGTGCTTTGTATTTAGTGTCTTGGCTAAGTTTGGCTTTAGTAGTGGCTGGATTGCTTTGATTAAGAAGGTCATGTGTAATTGTTGGTTCTCTACAAGTATAAATGGGAATGTGCATCGCTACTTTCACTCTATTAGGGGTCTTCGACAAGGAAATCCTCTTTCACCTTTTCTCTTTATTATGTTTGAGAAAGTGCTTAGTCGGGGGCCTACTAAATTTTTCTCAAACCATAAGGACTTGGTCTATAGGGTCCCAAGAGGATGTCCCACTATATCTCACAGCCTGTTTGTGGATGATGCCATTATCATCACCACTGGTTCCAAGGCTGCTCTCTCTAAGCTGATGCAGTTTCTTCATCACTATGAGGAAACATCAGGTCATAAAATCAATTTGAGAAAAAGTAGGTTGTACACTTATAAGACTACACCTCGGGCCATGGTTGCAAGAGGGGGAGGTTCCTTTGCAAATATCTTGGTCTACCCATTTGCAAAGGAAAGTCAAAGAAAGAGCACTTTGCTGAAATGGTGGATGGATTTAGTGCCAAAATTGATTCATGGAAAGGGAAGTTATTATTTTTGAGAGAAAGTAAAGTAAAGATTGTGTTAAAGTATGCTGTAAACACAAAATACAAGTGTTATTATTCATAAAAAAAAAACACAAAATACAAGTGTCGACAGATCAGCCATGTACAGCCAGGAACTAATACATCAGAATTCACAAAAAAGGTCCCCAAAAAGGGAAAAAACAGAAAAACAAGCTTCAGAAAAACTGATCAGCTTATCTGATTAGCCAAAAAGAGTGCTATTTTCAAAATACTGATCGTGAGGATTTCTTCTAAAGAGATCTATGGCTGAAAGCCAGGAATGGGTTGAAGCCATGATCTGATGCACCACCTTGTCTAGATCCCAGCTTTCTTTCTCAGAAATTCTTCTATTTCTCTCCTTCCACAGTCCCCAACAAATGGCAAGGGGGATCATACTGGCTTTATCTCATGATGGCATGGCTACAAGTACTTTGTAATTTTTGTTGATGATTATTCAAGGATGGCATGGCTTTATCTCATGAAAGATAAAAGTGAATTGTTCTCTATTTTCCGAAAGTTTCATGCTGAAATTCGTACCCAATTTGGTGTTCATATTAAAATTCTTTGCTCAGACAATACAAAAGAATACACCTTAACACCATTTCAGCAATACTTAGAGAACCATGGGGCAATTCACCGAACTTCTTGTTCTTATACCCCACAACAGAATGGCGTGGCTGAACGAAAGAACCAACACTTACTTGAAACTGCTCGATCTATTATGCTTGATATGAATGTTCCAAAGCGTTTTTGGAGTGATGTCCTTGCATCATGTTTTCTCATCAATCGGATGCCCATGTCTATCATTGAAAGTCAATCTCCTTTCTCAGTCATGTTCCCTACTCTTTCTCCATTCCCTCTTACTCCCAAAGTCTTTGGTTGTGTTTGTTTTTGTTCAGAATTTAGGGCCTGGACTGAACAAGTTAGAATTAGATGCACATGCTACAAAATGCATCTTTCTTGGATACTCTAGAACCTAAAAATGGTATGTGTTACAACCCTAGTTCTGATGTTCCTCCCCTTCCACTTCCAGTTGACGACCCCCTTCCTACAGTTCTTGTTGTGTCTCAGTCGTCGTCTTCTCTAGTGCAGGTTAATACTGAAAGGCCACCAATCACACAAGTGTATACTCACAGAAGAGCACCGGCCCCTCCTCCGAATTAGCCCTCGTTGATGAATCTTGCAATTGTACCTCCTTTTGACCTTGATATTCCTAKTGAAATTGTACCTCCATTATGTTTCTATTGCTCACCTTTCTACTTCCCATCGAAAGTTTATATCTTTGTTGTCATTTGTTTCCATTCCTAACAATGTCCAAGAAGCCATTACCTCTCTAGGATAGTGGCAAGCAATGGAAGAGGAATTGTCTACACTGGCACACAATCATACATGGGAACTTACCCCTCTCCCTCCTAATAAGCATGTTGTTGGATGTAAATGGGCATCACAGTAAAATATCTTGCAGATGGTAGTGTGGAACAGTTAAAAGCTAGGTTAGTGGCCAAAGGCTATTCTCAGTTATATGGTGTTGACTATACAAAGACATTTTCTCCTGTGGCTAAGATTGATTCAGTTCGGGTGTTGATTTCTTTGGCAGCAATGTATGATTGGCCCCTCTTTGAGCTTGACATCAAAAATGCTGTCTTACATGGTGATCTTGTTGAGGAGGCATATATGGAGCAACCACCATGGTTTGTTGCTCAAGGGGAGGATGGTAAAGTTTGCAAGCTTAAGAAGACGATTTATGAACTGAAACAATCTCCATGTGCGTGGTTTGGCAGATTCAATGAAGTAGTGAGGGACTTTGGCATGAAACAATGCCAAATAGACCATTTTGTGTTCAGTTATGAATCAGAAGCTGGGAAAATTTTGTTAGTGTTGTATGTAGATGATATTGTCATAATTGGTAATGATAGCAATGTGATTGACAGGTTGAAGAACTTTCTACATGGTCACCTCCACACAAAAGATTTGGGTAAATTAAAATATTTCTTGGGAATAGAAATTGCAAGGTCAAGGCATGGTATTAACTTGTGCCAAAGAAAATATGTCCTTGATTTACTTGAAGAAACAGGGTTGTTGGGTGCCAAACCAACTGGAACACCCATGGAACCAAATGTCAAGTTGAGTATTGATGCAGGTGAAGAGTTTGATGATCCTGGAAGGTAATAGGAGGTTGGTGGGTAAATTAAACTACCTGACTATTACCCGGCTAGATATTTCATTTGCAGTAAGCATGGTGAGTCAATTTATGAAACATCCTCGAATTCCACATTAGGAGGCAGCTCTAAGAATTGTTAGGTACTTGAAGGGAGCTCCAGGTCATGGACTGTTATACAAGAGTTGAGGAACTCTTGAGATAGAGGGATGCATATATGTTGATTGGGTCAGATCTGTGTCTGATAGGAGATCCACTACAGGGTATTGTACCTTCCTTGGTGGCAATATGGTAACTTGGAAGAGCAAGAAACAAACTGTGGTAGCAAGAAGCAGTGTTGAAGTCGAATACAGGGCTATGGCTCATACTACATGTGAACTAGTGTGGCTGAAAAATCTTTTGCAGGAGATGGGGTTCTCAGTTGACAGACCCATGAGGTTGTACTGTGATGGCCAAGTTGCAGCCACATTTCTTCTAATCCAATATTTCACGAGAGAACAAAGCATATTGAAGTTGATTGCCACTTTGTAAGAGAAAAGGTGAGCAGTGGAGTGACAAATACAGCTCATGTGAGTTTAGGAAACCAGTGGGCAGATTTCTTTACAAAAGGGTTGAGTCGGGGAAGAGTGGACTACATATGTAACAAGCTGGGATTATATGATATATACTCTCCCACTTGAGGGGGAGTGTTAGAATCGACAATACAAGGGTAGTTAAGTCATTTGTCTATCTATTAAGGTTGAATTGTCTATTTTGTTTGGGTTTAATTTGTGTGTCCCATTTAATGAGGGATCGATTTGTCTTTTGTAATCTAATACAAAGAGTATAAATATAAAGGGGGTCGGCTGAGAGAGACTGACTTTTTCTCTTCTCGGACCAAACCCTTTCTTATTCTCTTCTCTTCTTTCTCTTCTTCTTGTTCTTTTCTTCTTACTTATCTCAAACCTAGGACTGAACTAGTGTTAATCGAATCATTCACACAAATCAATGCACCATTCAGTTCAACCACTTCACTTGTTATAAAACAATCCCTAAATAAACCAAAAAGTGATCAAAAGGACAATTAAAATAGAGGAAAATCTGGATAAAAACCAAAAAGGGAAAACTAAAATTTATGAAATTGCCAAAAACTTGGGAGAAGTGAGGGGATACAAATCTCTTCCAAACTAGAAAGAATATCTATGGTCTTGGGAAGCCATGCTGGACTATATAGCCTTCCTTGGGGAGTGCTTTGTTTGTGAGTGTCATGGAGATAATTGATGGAATCTCTCCCTTTGCTCTTTGATGAGAGATATACACATAGAAATGCAGATACCATTTTTATTTATTGTTCCAAGGCTGATTTTGTTTGTTTGCATTAGACCTTGGTGTTGTGTCAATGTGTTTATAACGTTTCATTACAAAATTAAATGTACTTTATAAAACAAAAGAGTCGGTGTATTTTTCAATGTGTCAAAGTGTTCAATAAGCTTTATAGGATCATTTTATTTCTTTTGCATTTGTCAAATATAAATTTATAAATAAACTTATTAACCAACAAAAAATAGAAATAAAGATTCCCACAACATCAAGACCAAAAAATGTGAATCCTCAACTAACACCTTAAACCTTAAATAAGTGCTCAAAATAGCAGTTAATAATTTAGGTTTGAGAATCACATATATTGCACACATTGTATTTAGTAGCAGGGTACTAACCTCTAGGCATGTGATTTTGAATTCATGAGGAGCCCTTCTGATTACTGTGAAAAGAATATAGGATAAGAGATTTCTTTTAGACTATGTATTTGAAGTACAAAAGTGATCAATACAATTGTAATCACAACAGGTCTAATCCAGCTTCAATAAGATAATAACCAATGCCACCATAATTGAAATTTGGTAATAGGAAGATATCCTAATTGAAATTTGAACAAAATTAAGTTGGAAGGAGAAAATTTTATATTATTCTTGCTGACACTAGGACTACTAAGAGAAAATGACTGATCAATTAGATGGCATAACCAATGCCACCATAATACCTGTTGGACAAAAGAAAATATTCATGTTGTAATGGAACTCAGCCCATTGTTGTTGCCAGCTCATTTACAGATAATAAACGAATATGCCATTTCATCAAGCCTTTGGCCCACCCAAGGTGCACCATCTCCGAGTAGAAGTCCTTTGGTTAAGGAACATATCAGATGGATTTATCTATTTTATTTCAGGATTTGGAGATATGGCACTCTTAATCATACAGATGTTGGTGATGGGTTGTTTTTTCTTTTATTTTTGTATTTCCTTTCTCGGGTGACCAATGACCACCTTTCTTGTACTCTTCTTTTTCTCTAATAAATTTTACTTTTATCTTCGGAAAAATCATACAGATGCTGGATCACATGATCTTGTACAAAATAAGTGGTCGTGATTATTTGATCAGGATATTTTTTTATTATTTTATTTGATCAGGACATTGTGCATAATCAAGAAAACTAGACTAGAAATCAAAAAAGTTGTCTGTTTTAATAAGACATAAATCAGAATACTAGATTTACATGCAAAAAAAGTGCAGTTATGTGGTATGCAGGCTGGAGAAACTAGTGAAAAATGAAATGGAGCATGTCCACGGAACCAAACATTTGATATAGCAGCATAATCAACCATCTCTATCATCCAAATTCCATTAAACAGGTACTTTGGGCTAAATCCCATCCTTTCTGACAAGGCTGCATGGGGTCATTATTTGCTTCATTTACCAACTCAAGGTCATTTTGTTGAAATTTTGTGCCTGGAAAATCACGTTGACTGGATTTGACCTGGATTTTGTAACTGAACGTATTCATGTTCTATGCCATGGCTATGAGCCCAGCACTTC